CCTACCGGGGACCACGCCCACCTCCCCTCTCCTACCGGGGATCACCAACCCCTCCCCTCTCCTACCGGGGATCACCACCCCCTCCTCTCTCCTACCGGGGACCACCCCCACCTCCCCTCTCCTACCAGGGATCACCAACCCCTCCCCTCTCCTAGCGGGGACCACCAACCCCTCCCCTCTCCTAGCGGGGATCCCCACGTGGGGACTCCCTCCTTTCGTACCCAGGGTCCCTCCTCCCTCTCCTAACCAGCACCGCCTTCCTCCTCCAGCATCTCCTACCCAGCGCCCTTCCCCTCCTCCCCCTCGCCTAGCCAGCGTCCCCCTCCTCCTCCTGCATTTCCTATCCAGCGCCCCCCTCCACCTCTTTCCTACCCAGCACCCTCCTCCCTCTTGTATCTGGGGCATTCAAGAGTCCTTCTCGCATGGTACACAGTGCCAGTCCAGGCTCTTGTGCCCCCTCACCTTGTTGTAGTAACCGTAGGTGACAGCGTTGGGTATGATGCCAGCCTTCTTCATTTCATGTAGGACCCGGACTGCGAGCACAGGCTCCCCATATTGTCCACACATCTGCATCAGAATCCGATGGCACATCTACAGAAACCAAACACAGACAGGACACCAATAGGTACCCAGCTTCAGGCTGGCAAGAGGCACAGAGAAGGACAGAAAGGGAGAGGCAAACAGAGCGAGAGAGGCACAGAGAAGGAGAGGCACAGAGAGGAACATAGACAGCGAGAGGGAGAGCTCACAGAGAGGGAGGGGGGGCCACAGAGAGGGAAGGGGTGACATGGGGGATGCACCGAGGGGGTGGGGGCACACCGAGAGGGAAGTGGGGCACACAGCAGGGGGCACAGAGTGGGAGAGGGAGCACAGAGAGAGCGACAGGGAGAGACACAGAGGGAGGGAGAGAGTGACAGAGACAGGCAGACAACGGGAGAAGAAGAGACACAGACAGAGGGAGATGGGGGCGGCGGGGGAGAGTGACGGGCAGTGAGTGTGGCAGTGATTGGTGGTAATGCAGATCAGGTAGGGGAGACAGCCAGGTACACCTTAGTCTCCTGTTGCCATCCTCGCTCAAGTCCTGCTATCACTGCACTTTCTACCTCTCGAAATTCCCTGGCCAATCAACTGATATCATCTCCTTGGGATCTGCAGCTTCCTCATCCCACCCCGCTCGGGGATTCATCTCAGAAACAACCTTTCCCCCAACCCCGACCCAACACACCCAAATAGGCACCTTTAACCACTGTTAGTGCATCTTGTAGATGCTACACACTCCTGCTACTGAGTGTCAGTGGTGGAGGGAGTGGGATGCCTGTGGATGTGGTGCCAATCAAGCGGGGGCTGCTTTGTCCTGGATGGTGTTGAGCTTCTGGAGTGTTGTTCGAGCTACATTCATCCAGGACAAGTGGGGAGTATTTTCTCACACTCCTGCCTTGTGCCTTGTTGATAGTGGCACAGGCTCTGGGGGGAGTCAGGAGGGGAGTTACTCGCTGCAGGGTTCCCAGCCTCTGACCTGCTTTGTTTTCATATTTTCGTGGGATAAAGTTGGCACGTATTCTCTGTCCTGATGCCCCTTGAGTGGCTCACTCAAGCTGTTTCAGAGGGTAATTAAGAGTCAGTCCTATCACTATGGGGTCTGAAGTCACATGTAGGCCCAGGCTGGGAAAGGACAGCAGATTTCCCTTCCCATGAGTAACCAAATGGGTTTTGATGACAATCGACAATGGTTAGACGAGACAAACTTTTAATTCCAGATTTTCTAACCAACACCCAAAGGACATTTGGAACTCTGGATTGCACATCTAGGGGCATGACCACGATAGCACATCCTCCCCTGCTTCAGGCTGGGTGATGAAGGGAAAGACAGAGCCCATACTGGGGACCAGGCCTGGTCACTCACCTCATCTGGCAGCACCACCTTTCTAGTCTCCATCTTCTTCAGCAGGTCGTAAGCAGTTTGCAAAGCCCTGACCTTGAGTGGGGAGGCACGCACATGGGTTGGGAGATAGATGAACCACAGAGCGTAACACTGGCCCAGGAGGCACTTGGCCCACATGTCAGGCACCAGGGAATATTTCTGGGCAATTTTCTGCGCCGATTTTATCTCCTGCAGATAGGAAGGAGCTGGTCAGAAGGATCCAATTGGTTACACACAAAGAGAAAGAACAGACATTGCAACCTCGCTCTGTACAGCCACAGAGTGCCCAACACCACCAATGGTGTAGTCATTGCAATCACAATGTGCACACAGCAGACTCTTACAAACATAACGTTTGGCCAGCAGATCTGTTGAAGTGAAATTGAGGGATAAAGATACCAGGGCAGCAGGGATAACCCCCAGCTACCTCAGGTAGAGGCCATGGGGTCTCTTAGGTTCAGACAGGTAGCAGTGTGCAGCCTGACTGACTGCTCATCTTAAACACAGCTCTTCATTCATACATACAGTGTAACACCACACACAGAGGGCCCGGTGTAAGACACACACAGAGGGCCCGGTGTAAGACACACACA